TAGAAGGGCCCACAAAGGCCCACCTTTCCTTAGGCATCCGCCCTGCAGGGCTACCAATAGCTTCTGTACCTTTCTTCTGGTGACTTAGCTCCCCACCAGAGCAGAGAGCTAGCCTGAGACTCATCTGGTGCCCTGCCCTGCAGCTGTGTGGGTGGCAGAAGTGAGGGTCAGTGGAGCATGGTCACTGCACACACTTGGAGTGCCAGCCCCACTAGTTCTAGGTCCTTCCCCCATCATGATGCGAGGCTCACCAGGACAGCAGGGCCCTTCAGCTGGCCCCACCAAGCCCCTCACCCCGTGAAAGCCGTACCCCTACTCTCTGCAGAAGGTGGGGCTCAGTTGTAATGGGCTTCATTGTCCCAGTAGAATTATCCTCCACCTATTCCCTGATCAGGCTTTGTTGTCAAGGGGATGGAGAGAAGAGAAGCCCTCTCTGTATCTCTGTGGTGGTTGAAAGGTGTTGATCTGCCCGACACATTCTTTCTGTCAGACACTTGATCCCATCCCAACCACCCAGCCCCTGCCTCTGGGATGGTAACAAGCCCAGGCCTGGTGGGTCAATCACGTTTTCCACCCACCTGCTCTCACCGACCACTTCAGGGAAGAATGCAGAAGTCACATCTACCCAGAGTCCCCCATGCTGTTTTACAGAGCTCTCAGGAAATACATGGTCCCTTTCTCTGGATTCCACATGTAAGTCTGGGGACACCACTGGGCATCTTGCAACCACATAGTAATCACCACTACTGAGGGCCAGGGATACCCGCAGCCCCTTCTACCCCCATAGATCTCTTATGATGGCGACTAAGACCACCCTCTTTGTTGGTTTGGGGGTTTTCCCCCTAAGCTAGTTGAGCGTTTCTGAGCATTTCTATTACTTAGGCTTGAATCAGTCCTGACAAATTCTCTAGGGCTCTTTCTATAAGTATCCTTCACCCAATATCTGCCTGAGTATTTCCTTTTGCTAAGGCTTCAGGGTCTCCGAAACATCCCACAGGTCACCTTGCAGTGGGGCTAAAGGAATGAACAGCTTGGAATGGACAAGTGAAAGGTGCCAGGCAGTTATACTCTAATGTCTCAAAATGCAATGAGATGGGGACCCACTGGTACATAATGGTGGAAGGACTGCTCTGAACTCTACCTGCTGAGTCTGTGGGCCATAGGGAGGCACTGATGGCTTTTGAGCAGAGCGGAGGCATACCGTGTTCTGCAAGAGGCAACAGGAGATTTATAGGCACCACGGGCCAAGGGAGAAGCGGCCACATGGGAGAGGGATGGGCACCCGGGATAGAGAGGAGGGAGAGCTTTCAGGGGGTGACAGAAGGGAATTTTGGGCAACAATCTGTGCCTCTGCTTGAGGTATCATTCTTATAACCACAGACAAAGAGCAGAGGTAGGTGACACTTAGGGACAGAATGGGCACCTAAGCACTGAAGGAATCTGCAAGACATCCACTCAGAATCATCAGTTCAGAGGTGCAAAACCTAACCTCAGCATGGATGGGCTCCGGAGCCCTCCCAGACCAATCTCTCATTGAGGCCCAAAGACAGGAAGGGACTTACCAGAGACCATTCAGCTCATCAATGCTGGAGGCCAGGATCCTGTCTCTGCTGGAACCCCAACCTTAATGCCCCCCTGGAAATCACCCCAGGAGCTCAGGTCGCCTGGTCTTGCCCACTCCCGGGGAAGTAGGGCCTGTGTCGGGAGGGCCTTGAACAGTAAATAATGGGAAGAATGAATGGAGAAGGTTCAGTAGCCACAAATCTCTTCAGAATTTTAAAGGGAACTAGGGAATATTGACACAAATTAAATCCAATAAAACATTCATTTAATTAAACTTTAAATGATCCAAATATTTGCTGTTTGGTTAATATTTGTGTAGCTGACAGGAGTGGAATTACGATGGTTCTGTCAGAACACGCACATTCCAATTTTGCATGAGTTTTTCCTGCACGAAGCGAAATGTCTTTGTACATACAAATGATGGGGAATGCAATCAGGGAATGTGTGGCAACCAGCTACCCTCACGGGGGGACTCAAGGGACAGGGAAGGCTTCCAGCTCCCACTTGGATCTGTTTGCTTGTTTGTTTTTAGCCCCATATTCCAGGCTCCTCCAGAATCTTTTCTAAAACTGTTTGAAAGATATGGTCTGGGGGCCACATGAAGGAGGGGATCGATGGTACACTTCACATGGGTCCTATGTGGCACGTGAGGGTCCATTCTTGTAGCCCCAGAACCCTTGCCCACCCTCCACAAGAACTCCCAGCTACCCAGACCCTCTTCCATCTTGGAAGGCAGTTGTTCTCAGGCCTCAGGGTATCACAGAACCCCCTGGGACGCTCGCCCCACCTGCTGAGAGTCTGGAGCAGCTACAGACAGAGAGGCAGGACCCAAGTGATGGCAGGTGGTTTGGGAACCACACCCGAGAGGTAGGGCTCTAGGGCCCAAGGGAAACCCACCTCCTCCAAGGGCCCCTCTCTGTCCTCCCTGTTGGTCCTTCCCTTCTCCTGAGGGAGCTCAAGGACAGAGACAGTATAGGATCCTTTTGAAACTAACCTGACTTCTTCCCAAGCTCCACCTACCCCCTCCCCGGCTGGGTTCCTAGAGAAAGATGCAGCTAAACACTCCCTCCATTGGCCAGCCTAATCCCAGCTGACCACGTCAACAGTCCCTGTTAGAACGTTCTGTGTAAGAAAAATGCATCTCCATGTGTTCACCTCCCGGCTGCCCTCTTGGCTGGCTTCTGGGGGATCAGGGAAACAACTCAGCTGTCCTCTGCTGCCTCTGGTTTCTACTCAAAGACCTCCAGGTCACCCTGTCTGGGGACACTCAGGGCGAAACTCGGCCCTGCTTATGCTAGTTTGAGCCAGCAGTCTAAAGCCAGGATGCTGCTCCCCACTCAAGCTGGGCCTCCCATGGCCCCCACCCTGTCCCAGCTGCCACGAGTACCTCTTGAGGCTCAGGGCCCTGGTCTGGAGCCCAGTGTGGTCCTTGAGTGCAGAGGTCCAGAGAACCTCACCACCTAGTTAGTGGGCTCCCCGGAGCCCAAGGGGTTCTGGTTCACAGGTGGGTGGGAAGTAAGCTATGGAGGGAGGGTGCAGCATCCTCCTAGAGCCCCCCCCCTGCTTGAACCTCCTCCCTTACCCACCCATAGATCCCTTCTTATTTCCACCATCCTCTGGGACATGAGGGGCATTCCATACCCTTCCAGCTTCCAGAGCAAAGCACCTGACCATCATCCAGTGAGAAAGAAATACCTCTCCACTCAAGAACTCTGGGTTCTCTTCCCCAGAGTCGGCAGCATCTGAACAATTTCAGCAAATTCTTTTTCTCCCACCCCGTATCTCCAAAGCCTGGGTCTTGCTGCAGAGAGGCTGGTACCTTCTCTCTCTCGCCCTGAGCAATAAGCCTCATGATTCAGAGGTGGGAGGGCAGCAAGCAGGACATGATTTAGGAGGGAACTTGAAATGTATCACTTTAATGTTTGTGAAATATTACGCCAGCTGCATCTGCATCCATCACTGGGTGTTTATCTTTCTTCACGTGGCTCCTTCACCGGGAGTCACATTTTTTCCTGTGTGGGATCGCCCCCTCCCCACTAGCCTCTTGGTTCTTCAGCTCCTTTATTTCCATTTTCTCTGTCTTTTATCCAATAAGCATCGATGAAGCACCTAGTGGACCTCTTGCTCATCTTTGTGGACCCAGGGCTGGGCCACTAAACATTGGTGGATGAGGGAAGAAGGGCTTTGCTGCTCTAAATCTGACCTTGGGCACCTGCTTTGAGCTCACTGCCCTGCAGTGCAGTGGACCTGAAGGCCTGCAGCTGCTCTCTCCTTCCCCACCCCACCCTACCCCCGCTCCCCCACACACTGGCAAGAGAGCTGAGCCCAGATGTGCCACCTGCAGTGGTCCTGCTGCCTGGTCACAGCTCACAAATGTCCCGCTGAGTTCTGTAACTCAGCTCCTAACTCTGTGCTTTGTTCCAGGCTTTTTAGAGGACACACCTGTCACGATCGATCGCCCATGTCCCAATAGAATAGTAAGAATAAACAGAGCTCTCGGCATTTTGGCCAGCATCCCAGAATATTCACAGACCCCCAAAACCAGACTGTCTCCCTCAGCTCATGCCACCTCTGGTTGGTGCGCCAGTCCCCTGGAGTGGGCAGATTTGGAGGAAGAAAGAGGGAGCCAGTCCTCTCTCAGTGGGCTGTGACTCTCCAGAAGCCTGATCTCATTTTTGCATTTGAACAGCCTGAGTTTGATTAATTTTTCACAAATTGTGAAAATTTGAAAAAGCAAATGATGGCAGGGAAATATTTTAGACCCTTCCCATTTGCCTGAGGAATGATCAATCTTAATGCCATTATCAAATGTGAAATAGCAAGAATTAATAATTTGGTCAGCCTGAAATACATTTCAAAAATTTAAAGGCCACAGTTCCCGGTCACAGAACAAAAATCCAAATCCAAGTTTGGCAAATCCTCAGACAGAAACAGACCTTCAAAGGTCAGCCAGTTCATTCCCCAGACTTCAGACAGTGCAACCTTTAAATTGCCCTCAGATGGACGAGCTACCTGTCGGCTCACCCAGCAGACCTTGACTGCCCTTAGCAAGGCTCAGACTTCATTAGGCCAGGGGAGCTCTAAGTGGTACACCCCACAGCTGGCACCCTGGTCTCTGCATGATGGCGGTGTGGTCCTGGCTGCTAGAATTATTGGATCCACTCACAAATCCATGGCCCAGATGGTTCCCCTGCACATTGGCTGGTTCCTGACCTGTTTTGACTCACAGAACCTTTTTGGCATTAGACATGAGTCATGGCTGTTCTTCCAGCAAAAGTGCTCCTCTGTACATTTACTAAGCAGGTTATAAACCATTGTCAGGGGGCCTTGCAACCCCTCTGGGCCACTGCCCCTGGGGAAACCCATGGCCATTCACCTTGGGTTGAGATTCCACACTTTGGGCCTCTACCTAACCATCTTCTCCTTTCCCTTTGCAGAAGTGGTTCAGCTCAGCCTCGCCCCAGAGGACAGAATCAGTGTGACTACAGTGACGGTGGGACTGAGCACAGTGCTGACCTGTGCTATCCATGGAGACCTGAGGCCACCAATTGTCTGGAAGCGCAACGGGCTCACCCTAAACTTCCTGGACCTGGAAGACATCAATGTAAGTTGCCTGGCACTTCCACTGAGCTCAAAGGGTACTTCCCAAGAAAGTCAGCTGTGTAGCATACCATGTAACCGTGGCAGGACAGAGGGTTTCTGTTGAATATCCCACATCGGGTGACTTTCAGACCTATTGTCAGGCTAAAGGTGCCAGAAGAGCTAAGTCCCAGAGAGAATAGAATGAGTGGCGGCCATCAGACAGGCAGCCATGCCCAGGTGGAGGAAAGGGTGCACTGACTAGGGGAGGAACAGCAGGTAGGTCAGGAGGCCCCAGGAGCCTACATTAGCAAAGGCCTGGAGGAAGCCCTAGAATGGGCTGTGGAGAGCAGTGGACTCTGTGGCCTTTCACATCCCTCAGGCAGATGGGCCAGGAGCCAACAGAGAGCAAAATCAAGCAGGAGGCCCTGGAGCAGGAGACAGAAGGTGGCTGGGGGACTTTAGGGGTGGCTCTAGGCCCAACAACTTGGTAGGTGTAGACAGCTAGACCAGGAGAGAAGGGTTGTCCCTGTGGAGGGCAGATGTAAGCCATGGAACTGGGTTGGCTAGAGGGCAGGTAGGTGTCAGGTGAGGAGGTAGAGGGAAACCAAGCCAGGCCAGAGGGACCTTCTTTGCTGGGCAAGGGAATGAGGCAATGACTTGAGTGGTACTTTTTGGCAGAAGAGAGCAGCTAAGACGACTCAGCTTAACTTGGCCAACAGCAGATGCTATGGAACCAGGAAGCTGAGTTGGGGGTGCCAGCCTCACCCATATCGACTTTGTGACTTTGAGTAATAACCTACTGATTTTTTGATGAATTAATGTATAAGAAAAGCAGCATGAGCAGTACTGCCCTTTCATTGGACTTGCAGAAGTGGAATAATTCAAGTGTATTTATTGGTCTAGATTTGGCACAAGGGCGATGTGACTTCCCAGAAGTTCATGGGAAAGCACAGTGATGTCACCCATGTAGGGAGCTGCCAGGACAGCTGATGGGTGTCGGGTGAAAATAATAGGAATACAATTTTTAGACAGAAGAGGGGCTGCACTGGTCTCCGGCTCAGAGGAGCACAGCTGGACCACAGTGAGATGCTCGTGGAGAGTCGTTGGTCCCTGCTAAAATCAGTGAGGAGGTAGGGTACGTCAGAGGGAGCCAACCTGAGCTGTGTGGCCCCATGAGCACACAGAACCAAGGAGTATCCCAAAAGGAGTCTAATTTAGGTTCCTTAGATGAAACACCATCCAGGCAGCAACCCTGCCCCACAATGGAGTGAACCTCCCAACCCTAGGGCCATGCGGCATCATGCAGGGACTATAGTCAGCAACCTGCCAGCCACAAGGGATTGCTAATCCCCATGACCTTGAAGGTCTTTCCAATGCTGAGGTTGCTATGTGGGGACAGAGGTCCAGCATGAATTATTGCAGGAACCACCAAAGTTGGGCCTGATACTCTCTACATCCTGGAGATCATGAGGGAAGCCAATGGAAATAGATCACCTTTCTGTAAAGTCCCTCCTGGTCAGAACTGGCCAGGGAGTCCCTTTTCTCTACCCTTGCCACACTGGGCAGGGTTGTTTCCTGTGATTCCCCACCCATGGACATGCATCCATCTCTGGGCACGCTCAACCTCGTGGGTATTGGATAGGCAGATGCTGCGTGGGCAGAGTTCTTTGTCTTCTAGGTCTGAGATAACTAAGACTTATCTGAGACCTTAGCAAGAAAGTTCAGTGTCCTATTTGTAAGAGTGTGCATGTGTGTGCGTATGTGTGTCTCTGTGTGTGTGCGCATTGGGGTGCATGAGTTTGAGTATGCAGAATCTCTAGGTGGGGTGCAGCTTTTAAATGCATTTGGCCAGTAGTAATTGATTCAGTACTAGGACAGGGCCACCTGTGACGGTCAGAGTGTCCGTGTGCAATACTTGGTGCTCTATTTAAAGGCATCAGAAATAAAGGCTGAGGCAAAACTCCTCTTAATGTACTTGCCACAGTTAATTAAATTACTTTGAGTGTGTTTCCCCTCCCTCCAACTTGCCTCCAGCACCGACTCAATTGCATTTCTACTTTTCACAATAAGGTTAGCAATTTGGATAATTGTGGGTACAACCAAAGATTAATGGCCCCTCATTACCTCCCAGGAAACACTTGCTGCTCATGGTTGAGTCAGTAGCCTGCAAATACGCAGGAGCCCTGCACTTCTCAGAAATACCCACGTGAGAGTACAAGGCAGTCCCACAGGACTCCCCCTCTGACACATGCAGACATACCATAAAACACGCGCAGCACGCACCTCCTCCTGCCTCAAGGAGAGAGGCAGTGCAGCCTGCTATGGAAGGGCACAGGCTCTGGGGTCAAAGGAGCCTGGGTTTAAGTCTCAGCTCTGCCACTTTCTAGTTAAGTAACTCAGCAAGAGCTCTTGACCTGTATTATCTTAATTCCCTCATCTGTGAAATGGGGAGAGATAGCTGCGCCTGACTTACAGGATTCTAGTGAGGATAAAGTGAGAAGATACATGTAGAGTTTTTAGTATGTAATATTCCATAAACACTATATCACTCTCATTATTACTATTATCACTTCATTCATACTGTTGCTGCTGCTGCTACTGCAAAACAACATTTGCAATACCTTGTAGCCCGAGTCCCCATGAAGCAGCCAGCAGCAACCCAAAGAAGCTCCCAGTCAGGCAGATGTGGCCCTTGGTGAAGCCCAGGGATGACGGCAATACCATCTGTTAACCTTGATCCATTCAGGGAGAGAGACCAGCCACCTCCAGCAAACCCAGAGCAAATCTGGAGCAGCTGCTGGACTTCTCTGAGCCTCTGAAGAAATAGAGGTCATGGTGTCTCCTGGCTTGGGGAGTCTCAGACTAAGTATGTACAAGAAGCACCCAGCTCAGTGCCTGGAGCCCAGAAGGTATTCATCAGTGCCAGCCCCACTTGGGCCAGTAAAGGAAGTAGCCCTAGGAAGAAATCAGGCTGAAGAGAGCTAGATCCAGGGTCCTCAAGAATCATGGGGTATTTCTGAAGCAAGAATTAATCAAGGGAGCCAGGCACAGTGGCCCATAACTATAATCCCAGCAGCTTGTGAGCCTGAGACAGAAAGATCACAAGTTCAAGGCCAGCCTCAGCAACTTAAAGAGTTCCTAAGCAACTTAGGGAAACCCTATCTTAAAATAAAAAATTAAAAAGGCTGGGAATGTGGCTCAGTGGTTAAGGGTCCCTGAGTTCTATCCCAGGTACAAAAAAAAATTAATCAAGGGCAAACAGCCCAGGAGGGCAACCCTGGTGGAGCAGAGATTCCAGGATTGATGGGACTCCTAGAGTCCATTAGCCAGTGGTATCTCCCAGAAGAGATGAAGTACAATCACCCACGCTGTAATTACTGAGTGCCACACAAACACAGCTTCGAACAGGGGAAGCAGATCAGCCTTCAAAACCCGAGGCAGAGAGATTAGAGAGCACAAAGAGGTGTGGGCCTCCTTTCTTTGTCATTTGTATGAGACATCTTGATTGGCAACAAAATATTAATCACTTTTTCACTACTCCCTTAATGAGACGCTTTCATGGGCAACAAAATATTAATTTGTCTTGTCTTATCTGTTAAGAATTCTGGTAATGAATTCAGTCACAGAGCTATTACAGAATGCCATCCTAATGACACATGTAATTAAACTTTTCTGACTTGCAAACATCAAAGATGCCTTGAGCATCAGAATAATATTTGATCAGAAAGTAAATGGACCCCCTCTAGCCCAAAGCAAGTAAGAGCACTCTGCTCACATTCTGCAGTGAGCCACATTGGTGTCAGAAGCACTTAGGAGTCACCTGATCCTGTGCATGCCTGTCCAGATGGTGAAGACAGGGAGACATTCTTTGGACTGATTCACTTACTAAAGGCTGCAGGACCACAGAACAAAAACACTGTCCCCAGCCTCCAGTGGAACCAGACTTCCATGAATCCCTGTTCTGAGAGTGGTAAAAGGGGGCTGTTTTAGCTGGGGCCTCAGAACATGAAAGGTCTAAGTGTCACATAAAGAGTCGTGGTTGCCAGACCCAATGGCTCATGCCTGTAATCCCAGAGGCTTGGGAGGCCAAGTCAGGAGGATCACAAGTTCAAGGACAGCCTGGGCAACTTAGCAAAACCCTGTCTCAAAATTTGAAAAATCAAACGAGTTGGGTGGGGGCGGGTAACTTAATGGTAAACCACCAAAAAAAAAAAAAAGTGGGGGAAGGGTCTTTGTTGTTTGCCTGTGGCCAAAGGGAGTCCCAGATTCTTGATCAGAAAATGACATGGTCAAATGTGGGGGCTACAAGTGTACCAAACTTCTTCCAGCAGAAGATTAAATACTGCCTCCAAGAAGGATTCTAAATAATGTGGGACCCAGATCTGAGGGGAGCCCTGCTGGTGCTCTTGGGTCATCCTTTTCTAACTTCCCCCAAGGCACCCAGGAGTGGAGCAGTGCCCAGGGTTCCCACAGCTCCTGCTGAAGTTCCCCTCCAGGTAGTCAAGGCTCAGGTCACAGCATCTTTGCCTTCTTAAGATTGTGGGAAGTTCAGCCTGGATCTGGTGTGCTTTGCCAGAATGCCCGAGCCACCGTGTTACATACTGGCCAGCTTGCAGGAGAGAAACCAAAACCAGCACACAGCCTTAGGGACTCACAGAACAAAGCTCCAAAAGACGGGCGCTCCCAGCAGAGGCAGCGGCCCAGGCCAGCGAGCTGCAGCCTCTCACAATGGCTCTCAGGATTATGACACTTCCTTCTGTTTGCTTGATGAGAAATCAATACTTTCTGCTCACATGGCTCGTTTCCCAGAGCTGACAAAGTGCAGTCTATAATTGTTTACTTCCTAGCCAACTGTTGGCTTCTTTATTGAAGTAGCTGGACATGTTTCCACTTGCTTGTGCCCCCTGCCACACCTCGGTCCTCAGGAATCAAGGCCGCTGCCCCCCCTCTCCCCAGGACCTAAGCCAGAATGACCAGCAGCAGCACCCCGAGCTCTGCTTATCCTGAGCTTAGGCCAGGCTG